CCAGCCCCGCCAGCACCTGCGCCGAGGAGGCCGGGACGCGGGCCGGCGCGCTGCCGTAGCCGCTCACTCCCAGGCTGCGCGCCGCGGAGCGCGAAGGACCGAGGTCTCTGCGCGGCGTCTTCTCCAGTGGCGAGTCGCTGCTGTCGGCTCTCCTGGACGAGCTGCGTCCCAGGCTCTCCATCTCGTCTGTTGCTGCAGGCGGCGGCGCACGTAGCTCATGTCCTCTGGCCATGTCGCCGCGACTCAGCCGCGCCGGAGACTCTCATCCTCAAGCCCAGCCGCAGGTCCGCACCGGCCGCCCTCACCGTGCGCTCGGGGTGCGATCGGCCTGCGGGGAAGCAGAGGCTCCGCTCAGATGCGGGACGAGACCCGGCGGCTCCTGGGGCTCAGACTCGGTCCAAACCGCCGCACAGCTGACAGCGACCCAGCTGAACCCGAGCACTTCGCCCTGCGCGACCCGCCTGCTGCCGAGAGTTCATTTCTGCAGCAGAGCCGGGGTCTCTGCCGAACAGTCCGCCCGCTGCTGCTCCGGTCCGGACAGCCCGGGGGTGTCGCTCGGCGCGGTGCGAACTCACGGGTCGCCCCAGCTGGGGGTCTCGCCCAGCAGAAACCCAGGAGCAGCAGTCCAGACGGGCTAGGCGGGTCTGCAGGTCCGGTCTCCTCAGCTGGACCGTTTGCGAACCTGTCGGCAAACTGAACCACGAAGCGCAACCCAGTCCCTCCGGAAACCTCCCCCCTCACCTCCGAAAGATGTCTCAAGAGAGCGCAGGGAGTACACGTACACGGGGCCACGCGTGACACTGCCCACGGCGGCTCGGGGAAGGAGCTTTTCTCACTCAGACAAACACACGCAGAGCTGATCCAGCTGGTCTGACCAGCAGTCTGGGAAGAAATGTCACCGAGACGCTCCCCGTCTCTCGCTGTTCCCGAACCCACGCTCCCCCTGCGGGTCCGGATCTATTTCAGCGGATAAATTTCCCCGATGCGCCGTGACGCCCGCGCGCTCCGGGCTCGGGTATCTCACGCAGTGTACTGCCCCCCGACTCACCACCGCGGCGCAGAGACGAGACCGGCTGACAGCAGATAAGGTTTCCTGGATCGTCTCGCCCATATCGCGTTTTCCGCTGGGCTGGGGGGGGCGACCATGCAGCGCGGGACGAGCCCTGGATCCCGATCGCCGCCGAACCGCGGGTCCCTACTGCCCGAGCCGTGCACGCCCGCGGCTCGCCCCAGCTCTCTCCATGAGCGCCTCTGTGGCTCACACGTGCGCACTCGCGCGTCACGTGACCCCGGGGCGCCCCCGCCGTGCTCCGCTAGAGGGCGCCAGCGAGGGCGCGCTTCACCGCCCTGGCTGCGACTTGCACTGGGGATGCTGCAGCAAAGATTGATCATTATAATTAACATTCTAGAAAGGGCAATATTGCGCATGATTATTGGTATCATCATCATTGTTATTATTAATTTAGCTGGTGTCTTCATCCAGGGTGGCTCACATGCAAAACAATTCAGAGCAAAAGCCCACAAAAACATATCGGGTAAAACTGCACAAAGAATGGTGAATGCAGCGTCATGCAGTAAGTGTGTCAAAGGAGCAGGTGCAGTACGAGCAGCGCTGGGCCTGGTACAGGAGGCACACAGAATTCCAGCACAGTCCCACCCGAGACTCAGTGCCGCTAGCGCTGCTGACCTGAGGAGCAAGGGACACTACTCATCAGGGATTGGAGCCCAGGATCCAGAGCCCGAGTCATACTCTTAGACTGAGCAGTCTCGCTGTGAGCTGTGTACCCAGGGTCAGCAGTGAGGGCTGAAAAACATGGTACACCCCTGGAAGGGACTCTGAAGTCCCTTTTCTGTTTTTAAGAGGCAGAGTAAAATTGCTACACACAGGTGCACAGTAATAACACACTGCTACACATAATAATAATAACAACAATAATAATAATAATTACAGCAGAGACAGCAGACTTACACAGTAACAATGAAAGTTTGCAATACAATAGGAATGCAAAGGTGCAGCAGACAGAATCAGTTAAATAAATCCCTCTAAAGAAGAAGGATTTGAGTTCAGATCTGAAAGAGCTCAGGGAAGGAGACTGATATCCTTGGGGATAGAGTTCCAGAGCTTTGTGTTTGTGGAGAAGGCCCTGTCACCCACAGAGTGTAGACAGGCTACACAGACTGCTACACAGATGTACACTAATGCACACTGCTACACACAGGTGCACACCAACACACACGGCTGCACACTAGGTATAGTAACACTAGTACACACTGGTACACACAGGTGTTATAACGCTAGAAGTTCAAGCAGGTAGCTGTGTCAGCATGCGTTGGCTGCAAAGGAACAAGTAAACATTTAGTCCATGCTAGTAACGCTTGTACACACCGGTACACAATGATACACATTAGATATCCCCCACAACTTGTCTCTCAGCCCCTAACACCTCCAGCTGTCATCACAGGCCTTTTTAATGTTTTGTTAAATCTTTTAAAACTGTTACTTCAAAAACACTCTACACTGAATATACAGCAGCTCAGGAACGGCTTCCTCCTCTCATTGACCAGACACCAGCATCCTGCACCTCCCACACCGCCAGGCTCCTGGTCCCTCAGGCTCTTCAGACGTGTGCAGCTGCATATCAGGCCTACAGGCCTGGAGACAGAGCCGGGACAGAGCTGGAGACATGGGGACAGAGCTGGGACAGACGTGGGACAGGCCTGGAGACAGAGCTGGGACAGAGCTGGAGACGTGTGGACAAAGCTGGGGACGGATGTGAGGACAGAGCTGGAGACATGGGGACAGAGCTGGGGACGGACCTGGGACAGACGTGGGACAGAGCTGGGGATGGATGTGGAGACAGAGCTGGAGACATGGGGACAGAGCTGGGGACGGACCTGGGACAGACGTGGGACAGAGCTGGGGACGGACCTGGTCAGGGGGAGGGCGGCAGGCCCTGCTCTTTCATTTCCACAGGGTCCCCGAGCCCCCATGGGGGATGAGTCAGAGCGGCACCAGAGTCCAGAACATCACAGCAGCAGCTGCCGAGTCCACCATTGGTCATGGTATAAAAATAAAAATAATTGGAGTAATTGGAAAATAACGCAGCCCATCTGCTCTCTTCCGCTGCCTTTGAACTGGAGAGCTGCTGACGTGCTGCCATCGCTGTTTGTTTTCCTCCTGTGGATTTCTGGCGAAGTTGGCGGTGACCTCTCTCGCTTCCACACAAACAAGCTGTATTCCTGAGCAAACCAGGGGCCCAAGAGCCGCGCCTCAGCGGCAGAGCAGCGAGAAGCCCCCGTCTGCCCTGCTGCGCGGCCCCACCTCTTCCTCGCTTCCCACAGTCTTCCTCCTCCGCCCTGCTGGCCCCAGGAGGAATCTCTGCGGCAGGAGCACAGGTCTGCTTCCTCTCGGAGCCTTTAGAGTCCGGCGGGAACGGGCGCGCGAGGGGTGCGGGGGCTGTCTGCTCCGGCTGCAGGGAGCCGCGGCGGCGGCACAGGAGCGCCCGCTTCACCAGCACCGGCCGGCGGGCGCAGACACCAGGACAGGAGGGTAAGGCGCACCTTCTTCTTGGCTTTAAAGAGCAGAAGGCAGTTTGTCTCAGGAGTAGAGGCAGGGGCTCGGTGGGACGTGTCTTTGAGCTGAAGGGGTGAGCAGTGCCCTTGCGGGGGAACGCCGGCGCCCGCTGGTGCCCCTCTCCGCTCCGCGCTCCTACCCGGGAATGCTGATGCCAGCGTCACCTTGGGCGCAGAGAGCCTGGGTACTGGCCAGACCTAGTCCAACTTTAACTAATGAGTCATAAGAGCTAATTAACCACCGGATGAGAAACCAGTCACTTGGCCCATCAGAGCCCGCAGTGCTCGGAGCGAAGGCAGATTTTTACTCAAGTGCACATTAACCCCATGAGCAGGTGTGAAACCTGGCGAACAGGACTTTAGTTGGCTTATGGCTGGTGGCTCCCAGACTGACTGTTACTGTGTTCTCAGACCTTTTTTTTCCCACTGGGGAAAGTGAGGCTGGGATTGAGACTGTGGGAGCAAACAACAGGACCTGCATCCGTTCCCAACAAAGACGAGCTTACAGATTGTCACCCATCTCAGATTGCTTTAAATCCACACACATTTAATTTGCACAGAAGAGGAAACAAGCTGGCATTGTAACTATACCAAACAGGATGCCCAGTAAATAACATGAGCAAGAATATTTACATATCAAACTCTGTAAATATTTGCAAACAGTTACACCTGAGCATTTGTTCTTAGCTCCTCCTTCTGTCTCCTGCTTCTCTGGGATCGGGACGCAGGCCCTATCCTGACGCAGCTCCCTGCTGGAGTGGTGGATCGTGTGGGAGAGTGCAGACGAATGACCGAGAGTCATGCAGAGTGATGCATGTGACCTTTGCTCCCACAAGCTGGACTTTTAACTTTGTTTGTACTGAAATCTGTACATGACAATTGTTGAACCATCCGTACATGATGCAGTACACGCTATGGAAACCACTAGGGATAGTAGTAGAGAAGGCTGGTCCCAGGGGTGGCCTGGGAAGCCGAGTCTGCAGTGAGAAAGGCCTTGCTGTCCCTGCGAAAGAGGCCTCAGTAAACCCTGACGACTCTGTGTCATGGAGCTGGAAGCAGGATACAGAGCTGATACAGTCCTGAGGCTCTCAGTGCAGACGTGACTCATGTGCAGCAATCCTGGCACACTCCCACTGACACACAGTTCTACAGACACACAAACATGCATACTATTATAATTAGACACACACAAGGCACGCTACTATAGACACACACATACACAAAGGTACACAATCCCAAACAGACACAATCCCACACACACACATACATAAAGGTATTCCTTCAGGCACACTACTATAGACACACACACAGATACAAACAGACTCTTATGCACGTCCTCCTACATGCTTTCTTTGACACACCATTATAAAGACAAAGTAAAATGATACAAACCTGGGAGTTTGATCCTGGGACCTATGATAGTGCATGTTGCCATCATGAGGGAACTATGGGAAAACAGCAATATTGCTGTATTTTTACCATAATAACACTTCATAGGAGAAGCAAATACTTTCACACCCTGTGAAATCCCTCTGTCCATCAGCAGAAACAGATATAGACACAGCCAATGAGACATGTCACAGGCATGAGAACAAGAAAAATACTGATGGACAAACACAAACTCTGCAAAAAAACACTCACATCGACGCACGTCTCCCTGTCTGGGTCTGCAGCTTGACCCCCTGTGTCCGCCTGCCTCATACTGTAAACTCATTAGCACAGATCTGCTCCAGAGATCTTCCCAGCTTAACACTGCAGAGCAAAGCTGACTCCACACACTTCCTTACAAAACCTTCAATATCCGTTCATGACCGAGCCAAAGTGACATTTCCACTGCTGGTGTGAATAACTCAGTATGCATTATGGGTCAGTAATGTACTGTACGGGATGGTGTCTGAAAGGCAGCTAATGTTCTGTGCTGTTCTCCAGACCTGACAGTCACTGCTGACTAGACACCGTGAAGGCTGCTTGGCATGTGAACACTTTCGAAAGGGGAACAAGCTGCCCAGCCATGTTGCTGGTGCCGACACCCCGTCTTCTTTCAAGAAATGGCTGGAGGAGAACCTGGATCAATAACTACTAACTGTCAAACAGCCAAGACGAGCTGAATGTCTCTGGGATCTATGGAGAAGAACTGGAAGAAATGCTGAGTCCTATAGTCTGCTCACAAACAAACAGACAGGAGAGATCGAAATGGCCTGATCTCATTTGTCCTCTCTTCATGTCAGCAGTGAGGATGCTACTGGAATAAGATCAGACAGCAGCAACAGGAGCGCTGAGCAGCAGGGATGTGATCTGGGGGTGCTGTCGTCAGACCAGCTAGCCAGATGTGCCTCTGCAGCTGTGAGAGGTCAAGGCCTAGGTCATCGTGTAACGAAAGAGATCTGTTCCCGAGGTGTAGGCACAACGTGTGACAAGACCTATAACTCCCCATGGGCTGAGCACACACAAGGAACTCGTCTCGCCAGTTTTAGCAGTAGTGTTGTTATAACCCTCACCCAACACCTTTATACAGAACCCAGCGGGAGGTCTCTCCTCAGTGATGGCGCTGCAGGCTTCAGCGAAGGCTCTTACGAGCTCCTCAGAGAGAAGGCAGGCCGTTATTCATGCAATAACTCAGATGCTGTCAGCTTTGTCAGTGCTGTACCGTGAATTGTATTTTAACTGCACTGTAAACTAACTGAAATCAATGACACAAGGGTACATTTTTACTATATTATCCCAGCAAAAAGTGTCCATTCTGGTCTTTTTAAAGTGTTAACAGTTGCTTTAGGCAGAGTGATTTAGCAGCAACCCTGGTATGTGTGACTGGGGCTGGGATGTGAGGAACTGCACAAACTCTCACTTTAGGGATGATTTCATTGTGAGTTTACCACACATTACTCCTCTCTAACAGCACTAAAGGCTTGTAAAACATGGGAAAAAAAGTTGCAAGTCACTGTTACAAAATATTGGCTGGTGATCCTTGACGGAAAGTTCAGAGAAAGCTCAAGAGACCTTTTTTTTTTAAAGATTAGCCAGATACGTAATTCCTGGACAAGTGCACCGAGAAATTTCTCAGAAGTGACTGAAAAACAGTCCTGTGTTCGCAAGCTGGTGATGGGGCTCATTCCGTCCTTCTGCACACCGCGCTGTCTGCAGCCCACCCGCTGCGCGCGGACAAGCCCGGACAGCCCCGTCCCCGGTTGTCCCGTTTCTATGGCAACGCTCGTAGGGGCGCAAAATCGCTCAACCTGTGATGTTCCTGCCTTCAGGTTTTCCATCCCCTTTTTCCACAACGTCAAGAAAAATGTAAACACGGACGTGAGAAGTAAGTCCACCACAGAGCTGGAAGGCGTAGCGGGGCATGTAGGAGCGGGCAGGTTGCCAGTTCTTTCCTCCTGATCAACACGGCCAGCGCCGCCGAGGTCACTGCACTGGAGCAGCTGGGCCGAGTCCCCCGGCATGCCCCGCGACAGCGAGTGCGCCTCCGCACGTACACACCTCAGCCGGCTCGTGTGCGCGCAGACAGACCCTCCTTCAGCGCC